GATTTGGCTTCTAGACTTTGTCACAGGAGTTGTGACACTATGTAACTCTCTGGGTCTGAATTTCTCCATGTGTAAAATTAACAGGGGCGAAAGCACACCTCTCAACCTCAAAAAATTTAAATTGAAAACTATATTCAACAATTTCAAAATGCTTTACACTTTGAAAGCAAGAGTATTTGAAGGAAATGTTATCGTTTCCAACATAAGATTGTAAAACTTTGTAAAAGTGAGCTTAAATAACAAAGCTAAAACAAGTGGCCAAATTGTAAAAGGAACCTAATTCTGATTGTAGGTTCACCTCCTGTTCATCAGCGCCTGCTAGTAAAAATAATGCTTGACATTCTCTATGTGAGAGAATTCATTAAATTTAGCTTACTAGAGAGACATTTTAAATGTGACTGACGGGGCTCACTAAGCTTCACTGATAAAATTCTCCTAACTGACCTTTAGGAACTTGAAGACTTAGCACAATAGGGTGCACGTGGGTGGCTTGGTCGGTTAAGCAACCAACTGACCAGCGACCGACTCTTGATTTTGGCTCAGGTCATGATATCAGGGTCGGGAGATCAAGCCCGTGTTGGGCTCCGTGCTCATCGTGGAGTCTGCTTGTCCTTCTTCCCCCTCTGCCCCTCCTCCTGCTGGTGTGTGCTCTCTCTCAAATAAATAAAATCTTAAAAAAAAAAAAAAGACTTAGCACAATAAAGAAAACAACAGACAAATGTATGGTCATCTAATATAAAGCACCTATTATTGCTGACGAAAAGTCATGAAACTTCTAAATGTGTACTGTTTCCCATGGATAATTTCAGTTCAAGGTGGGCAGATACTCATGCGTTAGCAGTATAGTGTTCCAGTGCAGAGAACAAGGGTGGTCCAGCACCTGTTTCTTAACTGACTGAGTCCTTTGTTTTCTTCAAAAAGATCAGTAATTTCTAAAAAATGCCTTGATGTCAGTGCACAATCGGATCTTTCAGAAATGTTTAAATGTTGAAAAAGGAAGTAGGATTCCCTCCTACTCATAACAAATCATGCAAGCAGGAATAACTCATCTATTCAGTATAAAATAATGTAATTGCTCTCTTGTACATATTTTAAACAGGTAATTAATACGCTTTTCTTGGGGGGGGGAATAAGCACTAAATAATAAAATTATTACAACTATATTGCTAATGCCATATGGAGCCCCAACCCAATAGCAGAGTAAAATCCTAATCTAAATACCTAGACATTCTCCCAGTCATCTAGACACATGTCCTCCTGGCTACCAGATCTCTATTTTCCACACTCTACTTTCCCCAACTCAAATATTCTCACAGGAGACAGAGCCATAAGGATCCTTGAAAAACAGAATGAAAGGGGGTTTATCTATTGCTATCTGAATCTGGGGTATCAAATGAAATTATAATATTGTTAAGATGCTTATCCTCTACAGAAATATGCATAATGAATTTGCGATGATTTAAAAACACTTATGTATTCTTTAAAATAAATGAAACCCACATATACATTTCAGTAATTTTGACCTAGAGGGTTATGGGTAATTTCTTCATTTATTTTTCCGAATTTCTGAGCGTTAAGAGAGTGCTTTTAAACTTTAAAACTGATCACACAGTTATCTATTAATGGTTCAGGCCATTTGGTAAGAATTCTGGAGACACATGAAAACTTCGTAAAAACTATAAAAACTGTTGCCTCTAACAACCCTGGAATTTATAAACAATTCAGTAATTAAAAAAAAAAAACCCCTCTATGCTCCAAAGTTTAAGAACTTTAAAATTAAGCCTCTTCTACATCATTTATATGATTTAAGAAAGGTATTTTCACTCATTTCTAAAAGCCAGATCTACCAATTTCCAAATTTCCAATCAAATTTGAGTTAGTAGCTTTCACAAATTACAAAAGGCATTTAAAACTAAAATTACTTAATCCCCAAGTTTTTAAAACTATTTTTTAAAAATAAAACATCAAAACAATTCTCTCTCAGTTCAGCGGTCTTTTTTAAAAAGAACAAAAGATGGAGCTGTGAGTACTAATAATAGGCAAATAATATATATCAGAAACTATGTTTTTACACCAGCTCTTAAAATAAGTCTATTATTTTAAGAGCTTTTGCAACCATTTGCAAGAAAGGGAAAAATCACAAAGGACCTAATTTTTGCGGAAGGGACTTTATAAAAGCATTCCAGCTCCAATTTAGTTTGATACACTGTTAGGACAGGGGGAAAATGCAAATACCAAACACCCTTAACTACAAAGGACAAGCATATTTTCTTAGTAAAAGGCGTGCCTGGGTGTTAGAGACAATTTGTTTCAATCTGGCATAGGTTTGACAGCTTCAGAGTAAAAGGAACATGCAAAAGGTGATAGTTATATCATGCATGAACAGATATTTTAAACCTCAGAAGATTAACTATGCTTGAAAACTAAGCAAGTTTGGACTTCCCTTACATTGTCCATTACAAACTGTGTGCAATTAAATGCCTGCCAAATTGTGTGAACTGATGTAGGGTTCCTGGCACTTTTGTGATTCAGATAGAACACCTTACAAGGGAAATAAAGAGAACCCTTGAGGGGGAAATGTCAAATACAAACAGAGGTTTTTCAGTTGGGCCATATCTTTTGTTGTTGTTGTTCCTGATGTTTAAAGTCAGATTTGAAAGAGTCTTCTCAGAAGTTCAACGAAAGAATAAACTTGTTTTACCTCGCTATCATTTTTCAGTTTACTTTGAAAATAAAGTTTCACTAAACCAGTTTACAAATCTTTCTAATCTATACAGGTTAGAATAGAAAATATTCATATCCATTTCTGTAAGAACAGGCCCAAGGTGCATTTTCTAGATAAAACTATAAATAAAATTTTAAAAATCAAAGGTGACTGCAACAGAATTTTATGTCTCTAACTCACTTTCCTCATGGAGAAATGTCTTTTCACTCCTTCAGGTGAAACACGTAAGGAAAATGAAAGCAGAAGAAATGCCAGGCATCTAGTATTAGACCCCTCCTGGACAGATACTGTCACCAACCTCAGGAGAACCTAATGGGGATCCCTGCCACCTTAGAAAAACAAAAAACCACCCACCATAAATAATGTGGTACAGTTCAAACTCGGAAATACATCTTGTCTAAAAAACATACAAAAGAAAACATCTCTGCTTTACATTTTAAACAATTCTTGCTGATAAATAGGAAATGTTTTTATTAACAGCATGTGGAGTGAAGTCTGTACACAAAGGTTCACACTGGTTTTCACCCTTGGCAACCAAAACACACTTGAAGAGAAACTACTGAAGAAAAAGTCTCGTTTCAGAAGTGACTTCACTCATTATATGGGGAAAGAAGAGATTATTCATGTTTTGACCTTATCCATAAGCAAGTTCAGAAGGCGACTGCATTTGTAGCAAGAACTATATCCTTACAAAGATACTATTTAAAAAAAGGAAAAAAAGGTAGAATTACAAACAAGTTTTAAAATAGATATTGGACTCTTATATGGTCACCTCGTTTCTGAGGATCTTATGCAGAAAAGAAATTTCAATGGGAAATACATTTTCATCCCTCACAAAAAATAAATTTCGTCCCTCATAATTTTCCCACCAAAAACTCATTTGAGAAATAATTTATTGCATGAAAGTATTACTATAAAATATTTTAAAAGATTAAGGTCATACTTACGTATGCATATAGTTTCAAAAATATTATGAGGATTCTGGGCACAAGCTGTTAGCTGAATGGGAAAAAGAGATGAAGCTATCCATTGCGCACAGAAATAATCTCATTCCTATACATAAAAAGGTATCAAAACTAAGTCCCACTCGTGCTTCTTCCCAATGTGTTTATTACATAACTTCCACACATGGTGCTTCTGAGTGATGAAGATCCTCAAATAATATTAATACTAAAACAAGGTGTTCTGAATAGACATCCTTAGGCTGACTAAAGTATATTTATCATCAGAAAATATAAAATTCTGAACAAAAGCCATGATGGACAAAGGATTCATCACATCCGAAGCAAGAAATTCCCTTTAATGCATGAGGTGACTCAGAGTGCAATAATTCACTTTACCTGCAACTGAAATCTGGAAATGCTGGACTTGAAAAATGTCAACAGTATAGATCATCACTGAAAAGTTAATGGTTTCCTCTCAACCAGGCAGCAAAAGCAGGAGGAAAAAACTCAAAAGTCACATTTTAGAGTCTTTAGATTTAAATAATAATTCATATAATGTGAGACAGAAATTCGAATGAGAGACCATAAGAAATATCTCAAGAGACAAAAGGGGAAGGGAGATGAAATTCAATTGAGGGGGGGAAAAAAGTAAACGTGATACAAAGCTTAAAGGATTTAGCAGGAACTTATGAGATAAATGAATACACAGAAGAAACTCTAAGCTGGGTGAAAGGAAACCGGAAGATGCGGAGATGGTAGAAAGTTGTGCAAGGAAGCAGTTTTCACAGATTCCTCTTCATTCTAAGGGAGGTAGGGCTGTCCATTTCTTTAGAACAATGAAGATCTGTTACTCTTTATATGCTCATTTTTCTTACACAACAGAGCTGAAAAACATCAAGGGTGTAAGTCCAAATGGAAGACAGAAATCCTATACATCTGAAGATTACAGTTCAGATAAGCACACTTAGTACATCATAAAATGTTAAAACCAAGTTTTATTTCAATCTGCCAAACTGGAGACATACAATGACCTAAACACATCCCTTTAAAGCCCTTTTCTTGCAAAAAAACAAATGGTGGTTAAAGGAGCATTTCTGAGGTTTGAACGAAGTAACATATAGCAGAACCTTAGGAAAGGCTTCATTTAACTTTCTTTTAAACTTTAGGTTTTTCTTCGAGTAACCCCTGAAACCATTCAATGTCACCAATGCCATAAAAAAGAAACCTTGGCCAACATTCATCTACAAAACTGCTTTTAAAAATGGCAGTCCTTCTCCTTGGCCAACCCTACCACCTTCTACTAGATGGTTTGTCCCCATCCTCTCAGCAAAAGAAAAAGCAAATAACAGCTACACTAAAAGTATTCAGTGTGAGAATAAAGCTGTATGAAATTGTCACTAAACATAATGCACATTTCCAGTCGCTTCGGCACCTGTCGAGTCATTAATAACCCCTTCTGGCTGCCTAAACAGCTCGGCCACCTCCTGAAGGAGAGAGGGGTGGAGAAAGGTCCTCAGTAGAGGTTGTCAGTGTTGGTGCTGCGAGGGGTTTTGATCTTCTCGATGTTTTTGAGGATTACGTCGTGCAAGGTGGCATACTGGTTCCGAACGTGCAGCAGGATCTGGCGCACACTCAGATACTCGTTTTCGTCTACCTCGGCTACCGTGCGGCGATAATCTTCCACCTGGGGGTACTTCACTATCTTAGACACCAGCTTGGCCCTGGTGTTGTAGTAGGTGGAGAAGCGGCGCAGATAGGAGGCTGCGGTGCTCTCCACGGTCCACAGCTGGTCCACGGTGTCCTCCTGGATGGACACTCCGAAGTTGTTGCCGTCCTCCACCTTCGGGATGAGCAGCTGCACCCACATCCGCACCGTGTTGCATTTCTCTCTCAGCAGCTCGATCTCGGGTTTTACCCGCTCAATCAGCTCCACCAGATGCTGGTTGCTCCGCAGCAGCTGTCCCTCGCCCCCTGGCAGTGCTGGCACTGTGACCGCGGACTGGGCCTGCAGAGGCGACAGGTCCCGCTTGGGCCCGTCCCCCGCGGTGTCGGGCACGGCGCGGGGCTCCAGGGCGGCCACCGAACGGATTCTGGACAGGTCTTGCAGGCGGAGCTCCTGGACCCGACTATCCAGCTCTGACAGCTTCTGAGGGAAGAAGGTGGACACCAGATCCTCGGCCTCCTGCGCGATGCGGGCGCGAAACGAATCCACTTTCCCCTGCACGTCCTGCTCCAGCTTCAGAGGGGAAGCCATGACGTCCAGGGGCGTCGAGCGTTGGGGCGGACACCACCCGGGTTCCCCCCACCGCCGCAGGGCGGCCTTGAGCTTCCGCCGCCCCCACCAACTCCCAACAGCCCACGCCCAGCCACGCCGGAAGTGACGTCCCGGAGTCCCGGCGGCCCGTGCGGGGCGGGGGGGAGGGGGCCGCGCGCGGAGCATGCCCTTCCAGCGACGCCCCAGCCGGGTGGCCCCGCTTCCTGGGTCACGTGGGGGAGGTGGGGGGCGGAGTCTCTGCGGATCCAGTTCCCCGGAGCGGCCCCCGTTTGCCCCACCTCCGGGCCTCTCCGCCGGAAGCCTGCGCAGGATTGATGGCTCCAAAGAACATCGTTAAAACTTAAGCACCGTGAAGACCAAGCAACAAGTCGATGTACTTCACAAAGGAGCCCAAGGAAATCCATGATCCCTGGACTCCGGACACACAAGTCTCTTCTGAAAGGCACCTCGAGGAATGAGCTCTCCAGAGTAAGGCTCACTTCTGGAGAGCCAGAAGCCACACCTTTACTGGTAACTTGAGCGTACCCATGCTTTCCCCTTAAAAGTCAGAAGTGGTTCCCCCTTCACTGTGGTATTTTAATCAAGTGAGTAAAGTTCTGAGCTCTTCTGTGGCTTGCTTCATACAATTTTTAGTTTGAGTTACAAATGTGAAGGTCTAGGACTCTTCTTAAAGCTCATCTTCTTTGGGATAATTAACAATTTGAATCTGGACTGTAAAATGAAAGTATCAAATATCCTGAATTTGAGAATTATATTGTAGTTACAGAGTGAATATCCTTTTTTTAAGTACACACTACAGGATTAAGGGATAAAGTGACATGATATATTTAAACTATTCTCAGATGGTTTGCAAAAATAGTGTGCATGTATAGATGTATAAAGAATGTTAAAGCATGTGGAGAAATGTTAAAAATTGATGAATCTATATAAAGGTATTAGTTGTAACTCTTCTGAAGCTTGAACTTACTTCAAAATAAAAAATGAAAAAAACTGCATTTCCCCTAAAGGCTTCCAGAATCATAAAGACAAATTCTATAACCTCCTAAAATTTCACTCCATTTCTTTATTTTCATTTCCCTGAGATACTTTCCTTTTGTTCTTTGCAACACCACAGTGCATGCCTTTGATTTGTACTTAAATTATTGAAGTTTAGTTCAAAAAAGGATTATTCTAAAGATGCTATAATATAGTTCTGAATGTAACTGTCACCTCAATTGGACTGTAAACTTCAGGACATAGGTCAAGTCTTAATTTGTTGCCATCGCATGTGGGACAAGGCCTGGCATGGATCAGGTGCTCGATACATGTCTGATGAAATGACCTTGAATTAGTAAGACTTTAGCAAACCATAATTTCACAAGATCTAGAACAGAAAAGAAAGTGTCAATAAGACAAACATGTTACAGGTTGGTCTCCCCAGCAAGCAGACAGAGATTGCTTTTAGGAGTGTTAGGGAGTGTTCTTGAGAAAGGACCCACAAAAAGGAAGAGACAGAACAGAGGGAGAAGTTAGGCACTGATGCAGTCTCAGAGCCTCAGCTGACCCCATGGGAAACCAGGAAAGCCCCTTCACAGTTGTCCTGAGTTGGGGACAAGACAATTCCTGAAGAGGGCTATTGCAGGACTTCCAGCAGCTGGAAAATAAATTCTTTAGTTCTGAGGCAGGAACTGGGGAGTGCATCAGAGTTCAAGTACACATGTATCATAGTAAGATACCTATACTAACAAACTAGCAATTTAAGTTGTATTCAAGTCAACTGTGTTCAGCCCTAATTAGGGGCTGAAATTTGTGTTTAGATCACTGCACGTCTTGGAATGTGACAAAGAAGGATGTGGTGGAGGGAATTATATTTTCAAAGATATGTGTTTGGATAAAGGTGCATATGTATTTTGGCTCTACGGGGGTGTGGGGGGGTTACCGGAGAATTACTGGTAAGTTGGATCCTAGGGTATCTGGGAAAGTGGCAGCAACTGAAGCAGGAAAAGTAAGCAAAGACCAGCTCATGGAGGCAGGGCCCTCTTTGCCATCATAAGGAAGTTGGATTTGATAAAAGCCAATGAAGGGATTCAGGCAGGGGGAAAAAAAAACCCCACACAGATGGATGACTTCAGTGGGGAGGTAGATATGACGAAGAGAATAAAGGAAGAGCGCCTGCTGATTTAACCCAAATGGTAAAGAATGCCTCATTCAGAGTGATGGCAATGGGGCCAGAGAGAAGACTCTAGAGAGTTTTAGGAAGTATAATTACAGTACCTGGTGATAGTTTTGGATGTGGAGAGATGAGAAAAGGCAGATTTCAATATTATTTTTTTTTTTTGATTAGAGAAAAAATTTCTATTTATACATTAAACTTCTCCTAAGAGATGACTTGGGTATACGTACATTTGTATACATGCAAATTTACATTCAAGTTATGGGAATTCAGATAGGGTAATCAAACAGAAAAGGAAAATCAAATCTTGAAACATGACCATGGTTTTCCCATATCTTGATTTTCTTCATAACTTTAGCTATGAAAGATTACAAGGAGGTTACTATGGAAATTCTCTTTAATGTGAAAAACATCCTCAATGTTATATATGGTTTATCAAATTGTTACTCTATTTTCAAAGAGAAAATATTTCTAGTTAATGGGGACTTACTTTCTATTTATGACACTAAGGCAGCCATTTATATGAAATTATTTTCTTTCATTGAGAGTAGGATATAAAATCCTTTGGGGCGGCTCAGCTGCTTTTTTTTCTAGTGTGGTGTAAGAATTTTATTTATTCATAATATGTTTCTTGTCCTTGTTAATTAGAGCAGCAGTTGGTAGGAAAATGACAGCTCCTAATTTTTCTTTCCCCACTGACCACCAGCAATCAGCAGTTGTTTTTTTAAATTATTTAATGCACTTGCATGCCTTGATTCGCCCCATGAAATTAACACTGAGTACTAACAGGTGGAGGAAGGCTGGCAACAGCTGTGTAGGGTGTTGTCTTGTTCCGGTTTCTCCCTTCTCACAGTTGGCAGGGTGCAGCATGTACTGATGCCAATAATGACACACCACTTTCACTTTAGGAATACCTACAGATTTGTGGATTGATTTATCCTTTAAATATCCTCCAACTCTGAAACTATGCCCCTGAAGAAAGGATTCTGTGGTCCTATGTATGAGTTCCATTTGTAAAATTATTCGAAGCAACTGTTGTTGTGTCAACTCTTGGATACAAATGTAACTGAGGATACAGATTGGAATTTAATCCTTCAAGATACTTATTTTCAGGCGCCTGGGTGGCTCAGTTGGTTAAGCGACTGCCTTCGGCTCAGGTCATGATCCTGGGGTCCCAGGATCGAGTCCCGCATCCATCGGGCTCCCTGCTCGGCAGGGAGTCTGCTTCTCCCTCTGACCCTCCCCCCTCTCATGCTCTCTGTCTCTCATTCTCTCTCTCAAATAAATAAATAAAATCTTTAAAAAAAAGATTTTATTTATTTATTTGAGAGAGAGAGAAAGCATGAGAAAGCATGACTCCAGGATCATGACCTGAGCCGAAGGCAGTCGCTTAACCAACTGAGCCACCCAGGCGCCCATAAATAAAATCTTAAAAAAAAAAAAAAAATGCTTATTTCCCCACTGATTTCTGTCAATAAGTTAGGAGAAAAATAATCAATGGGGCTAAACCTAGATTAAGATTCTGATGAGTGGTAATATTTATCCCCTTCTGTTTATGAAATTCCTCATCACCAGATTGCAGTGGATCTTAAGTTATCTAAGCCAAAGGGCTTCATTCACAACTTATGATTACCCCCCCCAGTGAGCATAAAAGGCTTAGTTTTACAATGTAGTACTGAGAACCCTGCCAGGGTCACTTTGTAGAGTAGACAAGTATCTCACGTCCCCGTCCTTCATGCTTCCTCTTAGACTGCTGCAGGTAAGGGCACAGAAATAAACAACGTAGAGGCACCTGCTACCCTGCCCTTTGGTCAGTGGTCACTGCCAATTCAGCGTCTCCAGAACCAGTCTCCAGATGGGACCTGTGTACGCCTTTCGTGAAGACAAATGCCGCTAGAGCATGTGGCTAAGGCCATGCAGTTTCCCCACCGTATTCCAACCCCGGCTTTGCTACTTACTAGCCACGGGACCCTGCTCAGTTATTTAACCTCCCCAAGCTTCGTTTTCTTCATCTATAAAATGGACAATATAATAACAGCGATCTTGTGAAAGTTGTTTTGAGGATGACGTTAGTTAATCCATGTAGTTTATTTAGCACTGTGCCTCGAACATGGTAACTGCTCAGTAAATGTTAGCTATTACTGAAGGAGAGTCTCCTCATCAACATTTCAAAATCTCCCTTCACCCTTTGAAATGGAGAACTGTGAATTCTATACAAACAAACCAGATATAATTTTCTTGTTCACTGTCTTGTTATATATCATTGATGAGTCACTATATTACAGAGTTGAATGTAAGTAATTGGAAAAAAAAACCCAAAAACGGCTTGAATCTGAGATCGTCAGTATTTAGAGGCCATATCACAGAGCACAGGTGAAGCAAGCACAAACTTTACTGGCTACCGTGGCTGAAAAGTACATTTCTCAGCTGAAACCCTTCTGGTGACAGTCATGTTTTCATCTAGTTCATATTACTTTATCTTACAAATGACATAATTGGTATAATTTGTTAACAATGATGTCTACTATCAGGGATCTCTAAGATCACTGATTAGCAAAAATCTATTGACCTCTGGATCCTAGATTCTTGACTTTTTAAAATGCTTTGGCCACTGACTTTCTACCAAAGCCACTGATTGCTTCCTTGTTTATAAAATCCCTGTTCTGGATGAACAATGAATCCTCTAGTTCTGCATTTCTCATACTGCAGTCCATCAGTTCCCTGTAATTATTTCTGTGAATTCACTTTGACGATAAAATAATTGATGTAAGCATATTCTGGGGTCATATAACTGCCATGCAATTTGGGGGCCCATAATTATATTTTTTATGATTATGATACCACCAAGTACCATTACTTTAATTGATCAGAGAGAGGGGAGCCTACTAGGTATGGTTATTCTTTTCCCCCTCCTCCCAAAAACCTGTTAAGGCAGAGGTTTTCTTATTGGGTCAAAGAGAAATCTGGAGGGAGAATTAGGTAATCAGAGAGTAGGCAACAGTAAGGAAATGTCTAAGGAAACGAAGAACGTGCATCACGAGAGTCAGCATCACCTTCATTTGTCAGGAGTGACTCTTCCACAAAAACGTTATCCTTTGCATAAATTCATGTTGTTGATTTTATCTTTGTAATTTTATTTATATTTAAGTTACACAATTATTTTGGTTTCTTTAAAGTGTTTTTTTTTTTTTTTTAATTTATTTGGGGGAGAGAGAGTGCTAGCAGGGGGAGGGCACAGGAACAGGGAGGGGGAGAAACAGACTCCCTGCTCAGCAAGGAGCCCATCGCGGGGCTCATTCCCAGGACCCTGAGATCATGACCTGAGCAGAAGGCAGACGCTTAACTGACTGAACCACCCAGGCGCCCATAAATTATTTTGGTTTTTATAGATGTAAATCTACAAGTGTAAGATGTTCTGAAAACTTAGTTCAATGTTTGTATGTGCTTAAACAATGCCTAATAATAATGCTGGGAAATTTCTTCCTTTAAAAGAAATCATTTCCTTTGAAAGTACACTCTTCTAATACCCTGTACAATCAGAGTTATCTCCCTGAAATGCATGTCTGACCATACTTCCATCTTCTACAGGGTAAGGACCAAATTCCTTAAGCACAAGTTCCTTCATGACTGGATCCTGCCATCTTTTATTTCCCAGAATCTAGTCTACATTTCCCAACAGGTTCTCTCTCACATCCTCTGCGTTTATGTCTTCACCACTCTCCGGGTGAAATGCTGCATCGCCTCATCTTCCTCCCACTCTCCACCCTACTCATTCATCCTTCTATAATAAACTCAAGGAGTGTTTATGAAGACACGTTCTTGGGTACCACCTTCTCCTTCCTGGCACAAGTGACGTAGTGTAGTAATATCTCCCTCATAGAGCTGCTGAGGGGATTAAATGAAACAACTTACCTAAAACAGCTAGGACAGTAAATGCTTCATAAATAGCAGTAGCTTTATTTGTAATCTTAGAGTATTCTGCATGTATCTCTTTTATAGTTCCTATCCCAGTGCTGCAATTTTAGACTCACTTTCCTCCACTATAATAAACTTTGGGAAGGCAAGGATTTGGGCTTATTCATTTTTATGCAGTCTTTGGTAGCAGAGGGTCTCGTAATAGGAAGTGTTCAATGCACATTTACTGAATGAATAAATGAATTAGTGAAGCAAAACAGGATACAATTTATCAGACAGGACCTGACTAGCAGAAGAGCAGGGACTCTCGAGCAACTTATCCTTTCCTTTTTGTTCCCCTGGAGAGCTGCTCAACTGTGCTGTAGCACATACAATCCCTTGTGGGGTCTCACAGCAGCCTTCTGGGCTGAACTCTGCGGGGATTTATAGAGGAAAGGCAGGGACCAGATTTCTCTTCCCTACCAACAGCATCGCAGAATCTGACATTCTGCCTCTGACTGTGGTAACAGCCAGAATTCTGGTAGTCACCGTATTGCTTAGTTCTACAAAATCGCCCTCACTTAAATAACCGGCGTTGCTCTGTAGAACAGTCGTGTGCAGTACTGTGTGTTTGTGCAAAGTGAACATACTGGGGAGTGCTCGAGAGGTACACACAAGGAATAAGGGCGATGCTGGCTCTGACTCATGCTCCTACTGTTTACTTATAGCTTCTTAATAGTATGGGATTTGTTTTATTTGGCAAAAATACAAGATTTCAACTGACTGAGAGAGGAAGATGTAAGAAAATGCCCAAGCATAAAACTTCTACAGCTGAATAATAATCTGTAACTCGGTGCTGTATCAGCAGGCTCCCCAGGGGTTGCTGCAAGCTGAAACCACTCCAGAATTAGAAATTTCATGAGCTGCAGACTTTACTGCTAAAAGTAAAGTAGTGGTTAACTAAAGATTTTATTCCTCCATAGACACTTCCATTTATAAATGCTAAATTCACTAGTTGAGGCTAAATTTTTTGGTTAGCATACAAAATATATACAGTGAGTTTTTAATTTCTCTAAATGATCTTCACCAACAGAAATGGTCAAAAGCCAAAATTTAAAAATTTAAAAACACAAGCCAAAGATTTTATATGCTTCAACCTGGGAAAAAAGTACTTTCTCAGTGTTCATTTAAAATTACTCTGTCCTCTTACTCTGATTTTCCCTTTTTTTAAAGAATTTATTTGAGAGAGGGAAAGAGGGTGAGAGCGAGCGCATGCACAAGCAAGGGCAGAGGGAGAGGGAGAGAGAGAATTTCAAGCAAACTTCCTGCTGAGCACAGAGCCCAACGCAGGGCTTGATCTCATCACCCTGAGACCATGACCTGAGCCTAAATCAAGTGTCAGATGCTTAACGGACTAGGCTACCCAGGTGCGCCTCTGATTTTCCTTTATGGCATTTATCAC